GGGGCTGGAGGCTCCGTCCTGTCCAAACAAAGCTGCATCTCTCCCTTTCTTCCCTGCCTCCCACTCTCACTTGCTCTCCCAAGGGGTAGCTACAGTGCATTATAAATTTTACCTTTCAGTGTGTAGGAGAGGCGAGAGGAGGCTCTGTCCCAGCTCCGGGCCTGCCCGTCCCTGAGGACACCAATTAAAGGCACTAATTGGACAGCAATACATCAAAGTCGCTCCTGGGAGTGGGTCCTCAGAGCGCCAGGAATCCGTTACTTGGGCTTTTGTTTCAAACACAGAAATAGGAAAAAAACACGCACGCACCTCGACGCGGGCAGGAGTAGGGCGCGTGCTGTGCCGCGTGGGCTCCCGGGTCTCCACGCTCGCTGGGAGCCTCTCCCTACCCTCCCTTTTTCCGGCTCGGCACAGCAGACGTTCGTTCCCTCTTCTATTCTGAGTTCCCCTCACTTACTTTTCCAAAGAGCGCCGCCTAGAAGGCCTGCTCTTCTGAGACACGCTTACCAATAGCCCGCGTAGACGCGGCACACGGTTGTACCCCAGAGCACCAGTTTCGGGGGAAACAAACCCACCTCCCCGCGCGCTTCGTTTTGGTCTTTCCCTAAACAGGTTGAGGGAGGGCAAGTCAACGCCTGCGGAAGCACCTGTCGCTTGGACTCGACTGCGAGGCTCCCGGACGCCTGCGGGAGGAGGGCGACGGAGGGGAACGGGCCTCACCCAGGAGGGGCGATTTCAGGATACAGAAAGGGACACTTCGATGGGAGAAGGAAAGGGTTCTTCTTTGGGGAAACTAGACGCTGCTTACTGGCGCAAGGGCCCACAGAGGAGCCAGCCATGGAAGCGGCTCCGGCCCAGAAGGACGTGAAGCTACCCCGGGGGCGCTTCCCGTCCCCAAATGGCAAGGAACAGGGGTCGGGGGGAACTGCGGAAAGGGGTCTTTCCCTGCCATCGGCTTTAGAAGGAAGCCGGAGCCTCCAGAGTCCACAAGCCACCAGCAACCTGTGCCCCGCTTGCGCAACAAGGCCTCCCGACTTCAGCTACAAAGGCCCCAGCGCCCTGCGGGTCAGACCCAGGCCCAGGGGCCAGAGCCCCATACGGGGAGGGACGGAGACCCGGGCACCAACTGGGACGTCCTACGGTCAGCGTCCGGGGGTCGCTGTTCCTTGGCTTGCCCCGCCCGGGCCGCTCGCTGCCGTCACCTGCGCGGGGGAGGCAGGAACCTGAAGCTGGGGAGAGCGAGGCCCGGCCAGTGTCGCCATCGCAGCCAGAGCCGCCGCAAAGGCTGGCGCGCCGGGGACGCTCGGCCTCACCTGGGCCCTGGGGAGGCCAGAAGTGCCCCTCATCTACAGGGCCGCGCCCGCTCCCTTCCCTCGGGAAGCCAGATTGGAATGACTGCTTTTGATCCCATATTTTACCAACCCCAGCATTTGTTTTCCATTTTATAAACGCTTCCCTTTAAGTAATTGTCCCTGTTAACAGCGTATACCTTTCAGCAGCGCTCACTGCGCTATAAATAATCTCGATGAAGATGCAAGGATATGACTTTCACAAGATTGGACAATTGATTCAATCTGTGACCCACGATGGCGAATAATATTGGAAGGCTATTTAAACAGATGAAGGCCTAAATTGTCTTGCTTGTATCTGAATTAATTTCTCATTCATCATCATTATGAAGTGATTGGTCTATTCAAGCTCTTCAGCCTGCTGGAACCGAGCTGGATTTAAATGAGATTGTAACACAATTTAAATGCTTGCTGACTTTAACGAGGCCAATTGAGCAGCTGCAATAAATACAAATATTTTTCTAAACAGCCTTGTTTTAAATAATTACTTAATGCTTTCATGTTATTTTTAAGCGGCAATCTTTCTTTCTCTCCTGCTCCTGCTCAGAATATCACATATTTGTTTGCTGAGAAGGTGATTTTGAAAACGACTTTGTGTTTCTGTTTGCTTTGTAGACAGTAGGATGTCTTTTGTGATTGGGTTTTGTTTTGTTTTGTATTTTTCTCAGGGTCACATTTCCAGGGTCCCTCAAGCTGGCACAAATGGTGAGCTGAGCCTTAGTTTCACCCGAAAGCAGTCTTCTGTGCCTAACCCCCGCGGAGATTGGGAGGAGCTGAGTGATGGAAGAAATTTGTCTTTTGGATCTAGTCACTTATCCAGACGCAGTTTAGCTGGGTTTTGCAAACGAATCCGTATGACTGCACTTACAAATGACACCCTGAAGAGTGGCATCATTTCTGATTTGTCCTGATCACCATCATCATCTTGAACAAATCTGAATTCCAGCGAATCCCAAAGGTGTCCCTTAGGAAGTTCAATCTGTGAGCAGTTTGTCTTCCTGCAAATCAAAAGGAGTAGGTGGAGGCTGACTGAGGATCTCTTTGTTAGGGAAGGGACACAGAAGGAGACCCTTACCATAACAAACAGTGGTGGGTGAGGGGGAGGGGGTTGCTAATTAGAGAAATGCCAGTTTTGTGACCTCAGCCTCCTGTCTCTCCCACTTGTGCCCCCACTCCTACTCCTTCCTCTACCATTCTGAGTTGATGGTGTATGGAGAGCATGCTAAGATCCCTACTTTGAGAATGCCATTTGTCTGGACATCTTTGGCTGCAACTGTCCACCATGACACTCACACTCACTTTCCGGTGGACATATGACGGCTGGTGTTTCCTCATTTGGGGAATAATGGAAGCAGCCGAGCAGGAGAAGCCTGAAGAACAAAAGAATCTTTTAAACTTTAGTGAAATGGCTGAGGTTAGGGATGGGGGTGGACACTCAACTTACTGTCGGGACCTGAGCCCCATTTGGGGGATGGCTGTCCAAGGCCGTGTCCCCTGGAAGGCCTAAGGCAAGGAGATGCATTCTAAATATTTTCTCCCTCAATCCGGGATTGAGGGAGAGAAACTTCATGCCTGGAGAGTGCGGGTGCAAGGTTTGAAACTAGGAAGGTGGAGTCCACATAAACACTAAAGAAACCATTACTGGGGCATGCCACATTGGGCGACAGGATCAAACTGCAGGACAGAAAAAAAAAAAAGGAACAAGGATGCAGAAACCAAGTAGCGATTTGCTATGAAACTGAGCAATTTAATGCCAGAGTTAGGGAGCTGCTGGCCGAAATCATTTTGTCTTCGAGGCTCTGCCGAGCTCATCCTCTTTATCCTGTTGTTTAAAATGAGTATTATCCCAAACATATGCAATGCAATCAGTTTGGTCACACTTACAAGAACACGCTTTAATAAGGCAATCAATCACACGCTAACAAGCCAGCGATGGCCGGGGGCTGGCGCACACTCGGGCTGCAGGGCGGCCAGCCTTGCCCAGCTGGGCAAATCTGGGCTGGGCGCTGGACTAGGCTCCCAGAGTGAGTGAGTTGGGAGCCCAGTGTCAGGCTTCACTGGGGGTTACCTCAGAATCTGTGCCCCAAAACAGGGTGAGAGAAGAGGAAGTGGGAGCCAGGAGCTCAAAGCTACATTGGCCACTAATAGCTGTGTAGACCTGGAGCCTCCATTTTCCCAGCTGCAAAATGGAACTAAGATGAGACAAAGCTAAGTAGAGGCACTCAGAAAGTTGAAAAATGAAAACAATATCACGCCAGGCCCTGGTCTAGCCTTCTTGTTTTACAGATAAGGAAGTTGTGATTGTGAAGGGGCAGTACCTTCTTCAGAGTCAACTCACTTCCTGCTACCACCCAAATGGGGCGGGTCATGCCAGATAGGGTTGCCTGGTGCAAGTGGGCTAAGAATGTTTGAGGGGGAGAGGGAGAGCAAGAAGCGGTGTCTAGTGCCAAACCGCAAACCTTGGCAAAAGGGAAATTTCATTATGAAGTAATGAGTAATTCCTCCTGGCAAGATGTATTGTTATATCTTCCACTTCAATTTGGAGGAAGAGAGGCTCAATTACCCAGAAAATACAGTCAATTAAAGGCTGCTGATTGGACACGAAGCCGGATCATCGATCTTGTACTTTCCAATATCGCTGCAGACACCTCATTTTCCCTCCCTATTAACTGAAAATACGCCTGGCATTAAGGCAACCCGAAGCCCATTTACCTGTCACTAGCAATCTCTGCCAGATGAGAAGCAACCACAAAATTTACCGGGATTTGGCATTTGGGAGCTCCTGGCTGCAGGGGTGGAGTTGCTGGAAACCTCAGGGCACACTTTGCTTGGGAGGGCACCAGCTACTGTGTGCAGGAGGATTTGCTGTGGAACCCAAGGAGGAAGGAGGGCATTTAAGGAGTCTGTATCTGCTGGCAGAGACACTGGTAGAGGACCCCTCCTGTCTATGCAATCCAGAGCGTCTTGGACTCCCAGAAGGCACCCATCTCTCCCCTGCTTGAGCAGAACTCCAGACCCATACACATATGGCTCTCCCATGGGGGCTATAGGATTTGGAAGGTGGCTGGTGAGCACTGCCTGTCCCCTTGCCCTAACCCCCTAGAATCCCACCCTTAAGATGAATTCCAGTCTGTGGACAATTCAGACCAAGATGATCCCAACCAAGGAGGCCTCCTCCCTGTTGTCCCTCATCCTGAAGTGCAGACCCAGCTTGACCAGGAAACTCAGCTCTCTGCAGTGCCCAGGCTCCACTGCCACTGCCTCTCTTACCTTCCTGAGCACCTGGAAGACAGGTTGCTCAGAGACCACAACCTGGGTCCCCTTCAGTTGCTCAAAGAATTGGAACAACTGGGGAAGAAATCATCACAGAGGTGGGCTCCTGGTAGAACTCTGCTGCCATTTTACCCAGCAAGGGCTCCCAACATACCCAAAATTAAGGAAACATGCACCCCAAGGCAGCTAGGAGCCTGCCTTCTCCCCCTCCATGCAATGGCTGTTTGGAGCCTACCAATGACAAACAGAGGCTTAGAAGACTGTCTATGGGTCCATCTTTTGGTTCCTTCCCTACTCAAATCCATGGTGGCTGAACTAGCAATTTTAAGAGTCATTATGCTGCTTGCTGCCACAAAAACTAAAATGCTAAAGTGAGAATTATGTCCAGCTTTTATTGCAATATGGTTAACAAATCATAACAGCAAATTCTTTGGGCTTCAAAGAAAAACCCCAGACCAAACCAAATTTATTCCCTACAGGAAGAACCACTCTCTCTCAGTCAGGGTGAAGCTTGCATTGGGGGGTACACGTTCTCCTCTTCCTCAAAAACTGGCTGCAAGAATGAGTATGGGAGTGAGGATTTGGGAATGGCTCTAAACAAACCTTGGTGGAGGGCAGAGACAAGGTCCCCAGAAGGGGCAGAAGGCTCCCACTGGTATCTGAAAGTCAAGCACCAGTGGTAGCTGGGGAAGAAAATGAGAGAAAGATGTAAAACACCCAGTGCAAAGGGTAGGGCCAGAAAACTCCTGGTGAAGTGAAGGTGAACAGGCAAAGGATGAAAATTGCCTCTAATTTGCCGCCAGATACTGAGTGAGGGAGATGAAGTTCCCACTCTCTAAGCTCCTCCCTGGGCGCCTTGTTAACAGCTCAGCTCTGGGCTCAGTGGCCACCTCCGTGGTGATCATTATTATACATTCAACATTCACAAACCCTCCTTGCACACATCACTTGCTAATCAGGGTGTGAGCTGGGCCTAGGGAAAAGAGGCTTGGCCTCATAAAAGCTGCCAAGGGCTCCTGGGGCATCTGCAGCCTCCCTGCCAACAAAAATGTGGGGGCAGGGAGAGATGGAGCTGCACATTGAGAGGTGTCATAAAGCTGGGAATGAGGAAGAAGATGAGGTGTTGGAAGACGCCAGACCCAGAAGATGCTGTGTAGTTGAGGCTCCAGGTTCCATGCCAAGGGCCTGGATCCTCCCTGGTAGTAAATCATCTCTCACTCTCTCCTCCAAATGACTGGTATGTTGCCATCCACCAGCCCCTTGCCATGCCTTGGAAAAACTGGCAAAGATTAATCTCTCCCTGCTCTGCATACACAGCATTTTGTTCAGAGAGATAGCCATTTCCCTTTCCAGTGCTTGGGACTTGGCTGGGGAGAGGGGGCCAGGTGAGAGGGCGTGTGAGCTGGAGGGTGAGGGATGAGGAGCTGGACGTTGGTTGTTGCTGCTAAGTTTTGTTTAGCTTTGGAGCTACAGCCTCGACTCTGGTGGGGGCGGTGGATCCGGAGGCCGCCCCGGAGGAAAGACTCTCAAACTCTGCTTCCCCATCCCCACTCCTGCTCCCCAAACACTCCACCCACGGCCACTTCCTAGGCTTCCCGATTCTTGCTACCGGATCCCGCTAGTCCTTTTCCGCCTTCTCCTTTCCCGGTTGGCGTCCTGGGGGCCAGGAGCGAGGCTGGCTGAGTCTCAGGGGAGGGGGTGACCACACGGGCGTCCTGGAGCCGACGGGCAGCCAGCTGGCGGCCCCTTATCTGGTGAGGGGCACCTCCTCCCTTTGGTCCAGCGCGACGGAGGAGGCCTTGCTGAGCACCGAGGGCGCGAAGGTGAGGAAGGAGTCCGAGCGGGAGGTGGAGGCACAGGTGAAGTCCGAGGCGGCAGCGGCCCTGGGCGCCAGCCCGTTGGCCGGGCCGCTGTGACAGGCAATGCAGGAGCAGGGACCGCCGGCCGAGGCGCCCAGTCCGTGCGCGGGCCCGGGGTAGAGCGGCGGGTGGCGGAAGGCGCACAGCAGTTCGGGCCGCGGGTAGGGCTGCGACAGCACGCGGAACGTGTCGAGGGGCCGCAGCGGGCCGCTGAAGGGCGACGCAGCCGAGGCGGCGGACGCGGCGCCCAGGCCCACCGGCGAGTAGTAGGGCAGGGGCAAGTGCGACGGGAAGGGGTAGGGCAGGCCGCCCGCGGCCGCCGCATGGCTCATCATGTACGTGTAGAAGGCGGGGTCCGCCGGGTGCGGCCACGTCATGGCCAGACGCTGCCTCTTGTCCTTCATGCGCCGGTTCTGGAACCACACCTGGGGAGAGGAGCGGAGCAGGTTCGGCAGCTGTTCTCGGCCGGATGCCCAGAGGCCAGAAGTCCGGTCCCCAGAGGCCAGAAGTCCGGTCCCGCTCGGGGTACAATGTTTGCAGGGCAGGAAGAGCCAAAGCGGACACCAGCTAGGTAGAGATCGACCCTACCACCACCACCTGAAGCTGGAATCCCTCCGAGAGAGGCTGAAGGAGTGACTCCAGCCTGTTCCCTCCTTCCCTCTGCCCAGGTGGCCAGGCCCCTCGGGGTGCCAGAGCCCGGTGAAGAGGGGCAATGGGACGACATGGAGTCAATCGACCTGAGCTGACAGCGCATCCCTAGACAGACAGCGTGTCCCCAGAAATTTACTTGTCACCCGCAGAGGCACTCTTCCCTCCCGGCATTCCCACCCTTTGTCTATTTAGCCAGGAAAGGGACAGAGTCAACCACATGGCAGCAATGCCTGCCTAGGAGCTGTCACGAGGGTGAATCTGCACGCGCCCGCGCCGGGTAGGGAGACCCCAGGCCCAGATTCCAGGCGTGCGATTTAGGGAGTGGGCAGTTAGTATTTACTTCCAGCTAAATAGGTGCACACCCGCCTCCCCAGCCCAGGCCCCCGCATACCTTGATGGTGGTTTCCGGCAGGTTTAGGGCGGCCGCCAGCTCGCATCTCCGAGGCCTGGATACGTAGTTCTCCCGGTAGAATTCCTTCTCCAGCCGCGCTATCTGTTCCCGGGTGAAGGCGGTGCGGTAACGACGCATCTGGTCACTGGCGCTGCACGCCAGGGTGCCTTGCGAGCCACCGCCACCGCCGCCGTTGCTCTTGGGGGTCTCGCTCCCTCCGTTCGGACTGCCGACTAGCACCTCGGAGCCGGACCCTGCACAGTCCAGAGCACAGGCGTGTACGGACACAGACACACAAAAGCCACTGAAGCGGGGCTGTAGGCCTAAGGTGGGAGGGTGATTTGGGAAGGGACACCCCCTCAGCCACCTCAGTAACTGTTTCTGCTAGAGCTCTGCAGCCTCTTGGGAACCCAGGACTGGAGATAAAGGCCTGTCCTTGATTCGGTAGGTGGAGGTCTTTGGAAGGCCTTCCTCTAAGGCATCCAGGGTACAGGGGTTCCCAGCCATTCTTCCCACCTGCCCTGGGGCATAGATGAGCCCTCTGACTCCGGTTGGCAGGGATGGATAAGGCTGTGCACTTCTGACAGGCACATGAGTTGAGATGCACCTTTGTGCTAGAGCGTTGTAAACTCTGGGTTCGAGTACATTGTAGGATGCTGGGCATTCAGAGAATTTCCTTTCTCTTACGTGTGCCAGGCTGTCAGAACAGGTGCGGGAATGTGTACTAGGTTCCTTGTACTGCAGAAGTGGAGTGAGAACGCACGATGAGTATCGTATTTATTACCTTAGTTTATGTGAGTGGAGTGCAGGTTGTCCCGAGGGCAGGTTATGGGAAGGAGGCTGGGTGAAGTGAGTTATAAGATGGTAAGGGGTAGGTGCAGGTATTCAACAAGGTGTTGGCTGCCAAGGCCAGGGGGTGATCTTTCTTCCCTCCCAGGCTCTTTCCACCCACCCGGCAGTTCTGTGGAGGAGTGTCCCCTGGTGAGCCCCCCCACACCCCAGTTTTCCTCCCCCTTCTGGGGAGGTGATTGTTGGCACAGAGGGAAACTCCCTTCCGGGCTATCCACCCCCTTCCCATTAGCCTTTGGTGGGGAGGGGTTCTCCAGTTAAACCAGCCCCGCTTTGGGCCTACCTCTGAGAAGGGTGGGGCTCCAGCCCCCTGCAGCTCCTTTTCCTTTGGGTGGAGAAGTGGGACTAGGAAGGAAAGGGGAAGGGGGGGGGACCCGATCTCTGCCTTTTCAAATGCAACCGGAGACCAAAGGCAATTAGACCATTGGGACCATTTCCGACCTGGCGCCGCCAAGCCCGGGAAGTGACAAGGTAATTTGGACCTCTGACCGACGTGCAAACTGGTCGGAGGGCTGCAGCACCCGGCCGCTCGAGTGGGCCGCGATTTTACGGTTCTTTATGAACTCCTGGCTTCCGCGCCTCCATACCTCTTACACCCCGCCAGCCACAAACTGCCAGGACTGGCGTTTGATCTTGCCCTCGCCTGGGAAAAGTGTCTTCCCGGAGCAGTTGAAGCATTCCCCCGAGCAGTTGAAACACAGGAGATTTGGGGTGAACTTTGAACCCCCCAAGCCCGGGACTTGCATTCGTCCCGCCACCCCCCGAACTCAAGGCACTGCTGTCACCCTCAGTCCCGCCAATGCCAGAACACAGTAGGAGACCCCTGCCAGACGGCAAATAGCAGGGAGAGTGGCTCAGGTGGGTCCCCCCAGCCATTCTGCCCTAGGAGAAGGAAGTGTCTTTCTCCTGGCCTGCGCCAAAGTGAAGGGTGGGCGCAGTGGGAGGCCCGGGGAAGCGGAGGGGCGCGGTGGCTACCTTTGCTGTGCTGGTACTCGGCGTTCCCTGTGGCGCAGTCCGGGGTGCAGCTCACCTCGATTTCTTCATAGAAATCCGACTCGGTGTCCGAGCTACTGGGTTGCCCCTGGCCGTCGGCGGAGGGGGCCGGGGGTCCTGGGCCGAGCATGGCTGCCCCGGCTACCCGGGGCTCGGCGCCCGGCCCCGCCGCGCTGCCTGCTAGTCCATTGATCGGCTCCTCCTCCGGGCCTCCCCCGCTGCGCTCCCGGTTGGCCGGAGGGACGGCCCGAGGGCTCAGGCAACCACGGGGCACCATCTTCTCGGGCGGCTCCGGCAGCGGGCTGCCCACGGCTTCCGATAAATTGGAGACCCTCTTGCCAACCAGAGTGCCAAGCTGACCCCCATCCAGAAACATAACCATGTCCTTTCGGCTCTCCATCCTGGGGCTCTCCGGTGGGGGAGGGGAAAGCCCCAAGTGAGTTCCTAACCCCGGCTCCCTGGGTCTCCAGCGGCCGGACGGATCTCGACTGCAATTGGGAGAGAGAGACCGGGCTACTGGGCGGGCGCGGAGCCGCTGGAGCGCGGTGTGGACGGCGACGGCGGAGGTGGCGGTGGGGAGCTAGGGTCACCTTGTGATGCGAGCGCTCCTCTGCGCCGCACCGCCTCTGGGAGGAAGCCCCATTGCCCTCTTCTTTCTAAGCTGTCATCCTCCTGCTGCAATCGTCATTACAGTACCGCTGGTGACGCCACTCGGCGAGCGCAAGTGGATAAATAGAAACGTCTGCCACAGCGAAGATGAAAGGAGACCCGCAGCTAATGGCTCGGCAGTGATGCGCCAGGTGTGGGCCTCGCTCGAATGGGGAGGAGAGTGTGAAAACAGAGAGACACACACACTGAGAGAGGGAGACACCCAGGCAGAGGGGATGCAAATGGAATTCCGCAGAAAGAAAAGAGAGCTTAACGCGCGCGGCGAGTTCCTCAGGGGCAGCGGGACTTGGTAATTAAATACGCTTTTGATTTTTCTTTTTATTGTTGTTTTGACTTTTGTTTTCTTAACTTGGTGCCTTGATCTAACACCTATGAAAGAATCCATAACTGCATTTTAGAAGTGTGAAGCCCGGCTTATAAGCCTCAATTCTGTCGGCATTATTACAACTGTCTGCCCCGGCAGCTAACCGCAAATCGGCTGAAAAGTCTTTTTACAAGCTACGGAAAAACGTATCCCCCCCTCCCCGCCCCAAGTTGACTGGAGAGCTTGAGGCTGGGCCATCTTTTCCTCTCTTCTCCTCCCTCTCCCTACCCCCTCGGTCTCCTTACTTCTGGGAATCAAACTTTGCTATTTTTCTTTCCCAAGGGGCAAGAAATAAATAACATTTATTTTTTCTTTAAAGACCCGCCTGGGCTGCTGTCAGAGCTTGTGCTGAGTTTTATTAAATGCCTCCTTCCCATCTAGATGACCTTACGTTTTCCACAGCCTGGCTTCAGCTGGAGATGGCTGTTCATGGAAGAAGTCGCTTTCCCGTTTGTCTGGGCCTCGCCTGCACTCCAGGTATGTGGGGAGAGGTTCTAAGAGTTGTCTTTTTTTTTTCTTGCGCATATTTTAAGTTTTTCGTTTAGAATCAACGAATTCTCCTGGAAAGATGTTTTTCAAATGAAGAGGCACCAGGAAATGCAGCCCCTGCTGTGGCAGTGCTGAAGGCCCCTAGCTGGGAGATGGCAGTAGCTTTCACCGTGGTACTCTGGGTAGGGGTTGAGCCTCCTGGAGCACAGAAAGGTTGGGGTTCATAGAGGTTTGATTCATAAGGTCCTCTCCCACGTCCCTGCCCAGGGGCAGTGGTCCTTGTCTCCAAAGGTGGGTGGTGTTTGAGGTAGAAGAGAGTGAAGTTACTGAAAAATGCCCTAAAACAGCAAGTAACTAGGGGAGCTGATGAAGGGCTGGAGGTGGGGGCAGATGTTGCGGAACTTGATATTTCTGGGCTGCCATAGGCCTCTCTTGGCTCCTCTTCCAGGAAGAAGCTGGAATAGAACTCCTTCAAACTGACCCCTTTTGAGCTCCAAGCAAGTGTGCTTAGGCCAGGTAGGTGGGCTGGGTCTATCCCCACATTGCTGAGGGCAGGAGGTGTGCACCTTTTGTACTCAACCCCCGCTTTCTCCACCTCCTCCCCAAGAGCTTCTAGCCCTAGGCAGCCAGCTGCAAAGGGCAGCCCCGGCACTTCCCTCCTTTCCGTGCCCCTACCAAAGTCCCAGCTTTTATAGATAAGTCTTCTTCTGCGACCTTTTAGTCTGTTATCTCCCACTTCTCTCTCCTCCTCTTTCTCCTCCCTCTTTGCTTCTCTCGTTAGGTATTCTTCTTCTCCCTCTTTGCTTCTCTCCTCCATCTTCCTATCCTTAGGATTATGGACAGGGTAGAGGAAGTAAGAGGTCCAAAGAAAGACAAAAGTTCCCTCCTCATTCTGGCTTTCCACTTGTCCCCCAGTGTAAGAAGATGCTCGTTAACCTTGCCTGGGGGCAGAGGCAGCGGGATCCGGAGGGTAGAGTCCACATAGATGTCTCCACTCCCAGGGACTCCTGAAGCCACTATGTGCTGAGCACTGCTACCCCGAAAATCCGGGGAAATGTTTTAGGGGTAAAAGGAATGATTGGGAGCGGGAGCCAAATCCCAGAACCTTTTGCTGCCTTGGAGAGCTGTCCAGGGATTCTATCATGCTCTGTCCTCCCTACCAGCAGCCACAGCCTGAGGGAGCTGCCTGGCTTACTCTCTTTCCTGTCAATGGCAAGCCCTCGGGCATCTGTCTTAGAGCTGCCAAGGTTGCCTACTCTCTGCAGGGCCCTCCAGCACTGGGCCTTGGCAGCGCTCACCCTTTTTTAGCCATTGAACATTTCGCCTTCTCATAGCCTGAGGCCCCCATGTCCTGGGGGTGGGTCCTCAGAGCAACTCCAGGCTCCCCACCCCGCCCCCAGCTCTGCATTCAATGGGAACGCTCTGTTTGATCCTCTTTTCCTCTGGGTGAGATGAAAGCAGAGTAGGAGTGAGAGATCAAGGAGTACCACTTAGTCTCCTTCCTGGGTCACGGGACAAAGCCGGGCTTCCCCTTACATCCTGGGGAGAGGGCTGGATGGAGTTGAGGAGGCTTTTCAGAGGGAGGCTGCCTCCTTTGGGCCCTGGAGCTGAAGCTTCAGGGACACATCCCTCAGCCCAGTGCCTTCCCCAGCCCTCTCCCGGCTTCTGCTCCGCCCTTTAAAAACAGACTGTTTCTCCAGTCTTAGGGGCCTAAACCACCCCCAACCCCCGCCACTTTCCCCAGGTGCACTGGGGGGAAAACCTTTTAACCAAATGTCACTTCTTCCAAAAACATCCTTTCATCAACGTCACATTAAGAGTGGTTGGGTTTTTAAAGGAAAGAAGACAAAAAGAAGAGGGGACTGGATAAGAACTCTGTTTTGGTTTTTTGGGTAGTGAATGTGGGGGGAGTGTTTAATAACGTTATTATCACTGTATCGTGAAGGTTATTCGCGTCACGGCTCGAGAAGGAAGGTAAATCCGGAGAGCAAATGAAGCCCTGCACAACCCCATTAAAACTGGGCAATCCCAAAACAGCGGAGAGGGGGTGATAGCAGCTGAGGTGGAGGCCGCTCCAGGCCGTGCGGCTTCACATTTCCCTCGGCGGGAGACACCCATCCCCCACCTACCACCCGGCAGATCCCCCGTCTCTTCCCCCGCTGGGGCGACGGGCTCCGGTCCAGCCCGATCCTCTCAGATTGAAATTCTCGGGACTTCAAAGCTCCCAGCCTGGCTTCCGCCGGGGCTGGGCTGGCCTGGGGCGGGCCGGGACGGGGTGGGGGGGGAACCCTGGGGAGGCGACGGAGATAAGATGCTCTCGTCGTTTTAAAAAGGAATCGGAAGCCGGGCCTGGGCCCCCAGACACGCTGCTCAGCTGGAAGAGCTTCTCTTCCCAAGAAAACCCGGCTCGGCAAAGCGGCGCGTGTGGGGCTGCCTCCGCTGTCTGCCCGCCCCGCTCGGGGGAGATGGCCAGGGGCCCCAATCACCCTTGCCAGCCTGCAGTGGGCTTCCCAGCGGCGACAGGACCCCCGAGAAGGGAGAGGGCAGAGTCCGGCAACGGGGCTCTGGAGCTGGCTCGTCGGCTCAGATGTCGGTGAAAATAGGAGCAGAAAAAAAAAAAAAATGTTCTCGCTTCTCTTTGGTTAAAAAGTAAGAACAAAGGAAGCTTCCTTCTAAATAATAAGCGTGGTCTGGCTGTTGTGAATATTAGTCTCGGGCCCTCGTCATCTTCCAGGCCGTGGTGGGGGAGCCAGCCGTCGAAGTTCTAGGACTGCTGGGTCCTCGCGGTGGGGACCGCCGAGGTGGGTGGTTCTGGGAGCTGGTTCCCCTTCTGCCGCGGCAGCTGCTGATGCCCTCTGGGAACCCGGTGCCACTGCTGGGTCCACCCCTAGGGAACAAGGTCCACTGGCTCTCACACACCTGCAGGTAGATCAGGGTTGGCCACTCCCCTCACCTCCTTGCACTACAGTGGAATCTGCTGAGAAAGTCCGTGGCAGCAGTGCAACTGTGGTGGGCACCATGGAACAGTTTCTCCTTCAGACAAGGGGAACCTGCGGCTTCTGGAACTCTGATTTCGAAGAATGCCCCCTCTTCTCCACCCTCCTGGAACAGGAAGCTGGATGCTTCTCAGGTCCTGGGAGCAGCTGGACCTGCTGCACTCCTGCCTGCACACCTGTCGGCCTCGGCTCCTTAAGGCTAGCCTAGTGGCTTCCTGTCCCTGTGCTAAGGATGTCTGGCTCATATCCCCATGCCCATCACTGGCCCATCTGGGGCTGGATGACGCAGGATGGGACTGGCAGGCTGAGGACCTCCCCAAGCTCAAGGCTTGTCCCCCCTCAACCACTGACTGGAAGGACCCAATGCAGTTTGTTTGTGTCCAAGAGCAATTCTCTAACACCCAAGCACCCAAAGGCCTGGACATGTCCCTCCCCCAACCTAGCAAAAATGCTAGGGTCTTTTTTCTTCATTACTCTCCTGAAGCTTGCTTTCATTACAAAGCACATTGATACCCATTTCTCATTTAATCTAACACTCTCATCTAATTTAACAGTCCCTTTAAAAGACCTCAAGAGTCCACAGTGCCTTTTCTCCCACAGTTGTAGGATGACCAGTGGTCTTGACTTAGATGGCCAGGTCATAGCTGAGTGTCAAGCCAGGCTCAGTCTTCCTTCCAAGGCCAGGTCCCTCCCTGGCCTGCAGCGATGCCTCAACACCTAGTAATACTTTTTCTTTTCTTCTCTTTTTTTATTTTCGAGATGGAGTCTTCCTTTGTCACCAGGCTGGAGTGCAGTGATACGGTCTCAGCTCACTGCAACCTCCACCTCCCAGGTTCAAGCGATTCTCCTGCCTTGGCATCCTGAGTAGCTGGGACTACAGGTGTCCACCACCACACCTGGCTAACTTTCTTATTTTAGTACAGATGGGGTTTTATCATGTTGGCCAGGCTGGTCTCAATCTCCTG